CAACCTAGAAATCTATGAATCTATGAAAGGTATTACGAACTTGTACAGCATCTCCAAAAGCTCGTGATACCTATCGAATGATGCCACGTCTTAAGTCTTACTTCTGAAACTTGTCTCCTGGACACACTCATGTACTTTCATCAAACCTTGAAATACTGAAATATGTAGCAAAGTGTGTATATACATGAGAAATAGCCTTGCAGGAAGATATAAATTAAAAAAAAAAAAAAAAAATTGCTGAACATCTCTCAAAACTCGCAACTCCTTTCTGATCAGACAGAGGGTAAAAAAATGTAGTGGTCACATGGAGATCAGATAGCACATTCAAATCTTAACAAAACGGGCTCAAAATTCCAGCACCATCATCCTGCTGGCTAACTAATTATTGCCTAAGGGAGGAAAAAATTGCTGCTGTGTGCCTGTGTTGCCTTTTGAAAACGAGTGAGTGGTTTGTCACAGTCCTGCTTACTGCTTTAAGTCTCTGCGGATAATGTGTTTTCTCACAGAGTTGCTGAGACTATATTTATTTAATCCTTTGTCAAGTAGCTGTGCTAAGCTGACGTGTCCTGTCCTAGCAAATATCCTGACGTATGGTCCATTTATGTCTCTGCTATAAAAAGGGTCCTTGCCTACTTCCCAGCCACCTAATTCTCACAAGTGACTCAAACACTTTCCTGCATTCTTTTCACCAGTCAAAACTCCTTTTGAAATTATAATAATGTTTTTGTCAATGCTACTTTTATGTTATTTCCACCAAAAAATTTGCAGAGCCTATTTCCTAGACATTAGACTAATGGTTTAATGGCAATTAGGCGGGAAACCTGGAGCCCCACACATGGGCTGTTTCTTCATGTTGATTTGCTTGCCTTAATTTTTCAAATTGCTCTGTTAGGCATAGGATGGCTAAAGGCAAAATGTCAAGCTCTAGCCTGGATGCTTTGAACTGCAAAGTGATTCTGAGGAGCAAATGGAGACAGGCATGACTGGTATTCAGGGTGGTCTTGACTTACTAAGCCACTATTGGTGTAGTTGTAAATACCTTGTGGCCTTTACAGTCCTCATCAGTGCCTGCAGCAACAGCCCTCTGTGAAACTGAGAGGCTCTGGCCTGCAAAATACTGTTAAGAGTTTTGGTATCTAAATGACTGTTAAGAAAGCACATGGTATCGGACAACAGTAAGTCAAAGGATAAGCTCTGTAATGTGCATGAAAGAGAATTAAACTTTAAATGCAGCCAACTAATAAATACGCCCCCAGTTGAGTGGAAGAGGGGAAACAACACTCAAAAATGTTTCCTTGTTTCCTAATTGGTGAAGTGACTTCTTTTCAGGGTAAGTAGGCAGAAATACATTTTAGGAAGGGCTGAGTCTTAGACCCAGAATGTTGTCAGGCTTCAGCAGCCAATTAAGTTGTAACTGGCAAGGATAGGATCTCAAAAGGGAGTTGGGATTAAAGCCCCAGAAATGCCTTCTAGAACATCTCGGGTTGAGAAAACGGATAGGTTCTCTTACAAAGCACTAGTGCATCCTCCATGGAGTTACCTATAAGTATTGTAAGAAAATTTCTGTTATTGGTAACTTGGCACTTTTGTGCCTGGATTTTTGTGGGGTTTGAAAATGGAAAGTAACTGTTAGGTATAGTTAGTGAAATGTGTAGTCCTTGGGCATCTTTGAGCGACTGAGCTCATTTAAGGCTCTTAATTGGGAAGGAAGACAGCAATGCAAACTGTACTTTTTCATGTTAAAATTGCCAAGAAATAATAATTTAAAAAACAAACTGATTTTCTAGGTGACTTTCTATGATTGTCGTATCATGTTGCTTTCTGATCTGTAAAGTTGTGACACAGTTGCTTGCAAGGGCATGCAGATAGTCAAATGAATCCATTCCCTTCCCGTTGTTTCTTTCATGCTTGCCCAACTGATTTTCTGAGGAGACTATATTTTGAAAGTTTCTCTGGGCACTTATTTAAGTAACTCACTTTCTTGTTTTTCTTCTGTGTTTCCAGGATGCCAAGTGTACGACTTTGGAGATTTGAATTTCACTCAAGTTCCCAATGATGAACTGTACAACAACCTGATTTTATATCCACGGTCCGTGGGTTTAGCCAGCCAGGTACTGGCTGATGCTGTAAGCAGAGCAGTAGCCGCCGGACACAGCTGTGTGACTGTAGGAGGTGATCACAGGTGAGCTGAACTAGAAGCAATTAGTGGTGCATGCTGCAGGCTGACAATTGGAATATAAGAATTTAATTTAAAAGTAAGAGGATGGCGGGAACAACTTGGGGTCATTTCCTGGCAGTACCATAGGGTAGCAGCATTTGGTTTTATTGCTGGGGTTTTTAGAGTGGAACAGCTACAAAAATCTGACCTTCTAAGACAGTACTGCTTAGTTCCAGACTGTTCTGTGATCTGCAGACATACAAATGAGGTTTCCTGTTTGGAAAAGTTTGTGTAATCAGGTCTTTTTAGGAACTGTTGCAGTTTCTTTATTGCTGAATGTTTAATGATGGGTCGCTCTTGCCCTTCAGCTCTCAGGATGTCAGCCCTTAGGATGGGTTTGTAATGCCCGCACACAGACCATTTTGCAATAGATCTTGTAACAAGTGAATCTTTCTCCTCTTTTTCACTAACCTTCTGAGAATTGAAGAAGGTAGGGCATGTGAGAATGAATTGTGAGAGAAGGTGTCATGACTGGAATCAAAAATGAGTGAATAGCAGAACTGATGAGTGAGCACACTAGTCTTTCTAAGAAATCTTTAGGAGCTAGAACAGGGGAAGATTGGAGTGTGGGAAGGATGACTGGAGAGAGAAAAGGGCTCTTTCTCATCTACCAGTACTAATATAGTCCTGTAGAGTTACCTGGAGTCTCCTGGAATCATGATAGTGGCAAGCCCTGCAGTTTGTGTGGGTTGCACCCTTTATTGTCACGGATGACTGATGTGTTGAAACATGACAATGTTGCTGACTTAAGTTGCAGGGACTTCCCATTGTCCCTGTGGTTGTTCTGAAGGAGAAATGGTGACTAAAGACTTTGCTACTGTACTTCCAGCTTGGCGCTTGGTTCTGTCAGTGGCCACGCACGGCAGTGCCCACACCTTGGTGTGATCTGGGTGGATGCGCACGCTGATATCAACACCCCTCTTACAACTCAGTCTGGAAACCTCCATGGACAACCTGTCTCGTTTCTCTTGAGAGAGCTTCAAGATAAAGTAAGTATCTTGCTTGTACAGTTAGCCTACATGGAAATGCTCAGAGCATTTTACTTTTTCTGGTGTGAGGTGTTTTCTTATCTGCTGCAAACGCAGACCTTTTTTATCTGAACACAAGCAAAAATAGATGTTATTTGTGTGTCTATAAGTGCCCATATATATACACACGTACACACAAACGCACACACATGTAAATATAGATATACATAAACGCACACTTAAAAACAAGAATGAGAAGAAGTTTTTCTTTGTGATAGCACCCTTGTGGGTTGTACAGTAAGCAAGAGTTGACACAGGTTGTATGTAGCAGCTGACCGTGGTGCCATTCCCACGGGAGGAGTGGAGTTAGTGCTGGGGCTGTGCAGTGGCAGCAATTCTACCAACTGAGCAAAAGAGGGAACCTCCCCCAAGCTGAGCCTGCGAGAGCTGTGCTGAGCTCACTTCCAGTAACAGCTGGTTCTTGCACACTTCTGCTTAGTTTGCCTTTTCCATGTTTTGACAACCTTGGGGCCTGACAGGGCCTGTTCCTGCGTGATCTCTCCTAACTGGCTGCTCTGGTGTTGGCTCCACTGGCAAACACTACGGATGAGAACAGGTGTACCTGCTTACAAGGTGCTTTTAAAGAGACAGTCTTTTGTCTTGGAAAGAGGTCAAATCATCAAAAAGAGCTGTTTACTGGGGCACACAGAATATGCATGGACAGTTTTCGTTACTGTCAAGATGCTAAACAGTAGGTGAACCTAAGGCCTACGTACCCTTTTTGGCTTAGCTGCAGACTGTATCTCCCTATACAGGTACCTTTAGCATCTACTGGACACACTGGAGTGGCAGCCTGTGCCTTGTTAATGGCTGAGGACTTTCCAGTAGGAACTTAGATATGGCAATCTGCTTCTGCTGAAGCTTAGGCTGGAGAATGGGAACAGGATTGGGTTGGAGCAGGTCCAGAGAAGGGCCACAAAGATTATGAGAGGGCTGGAGCACCTCTCCTATGAACACAGGCTGAGAGAGTTGGGGTTGTTCAGCCTGGAGAAGAGAAGGCTCCGGGGAGACCTTCTAGCAGCCTTTCAGTTCCTAAAGGGAGCCTACAGGAAAGCTGGAGAGGGACTTTTTACAAGGGTGTGTAGTGACAGGACAAGGGGCAATGGCTTTAAACTGAAAGAGGGCAAATTTAGATTAGATATCAGGAAGAAATTTTTTACAATGAGGGTGGTGAGGTACTGGAACGAGTTGCCCAGAGAGGCTGTGGATGCCCCATCCGTGGAAGTGTTCAAGGGCAGGTTGGATGAGGCTTTGAGCAACCTCATCTAGTGGAAGGTGTCCCTATCTGTGGCAGGGGCGCTGGAATTAGATGATCTTTGAGGTCCCTTCCAACCCAAACTGCTCTATGATTCTGTGAGCAGCATCTGCAGGTTGAGAACAGATGCTGGAGCGGCAGAAAACCTGACCCTGCACTGATAGCCATTTATCTTCGCTCACTTTTGGGGGTGCTGTGTTGATGGAAGTATGCCTCTTCCAAGTAAGATCAAGCATGTTTAACATCTTTCTGGCTATTGACAGTACCATTTCGTTAGTACCTGTTCGGCATAGCAATATTGCTGTCATCTGGGAAATCTCTTCTGCTTTTCTCCTGCAAATTCTTTTGAATGAATTCCATGCACTAGTCAATAGAGTCATTTGGTGCTTTTACGTACTTTTTTCTTTCTAATAATTCTTGGATGGTCTCTACAAACATGCTAGAGTTCCCTAAGTAATGCAAAATTAATGGCATACCCCTGGGACAACAGAAGGTTACTAGAAAAGGTTACTGTGTTTCTAGTTTCTTGCCCATAAGTTAACGGGGTGATACTTTTTTTTGTTTTTGGCAACTGCACCCACTTCTTTCTGCAGGAGAGATAAGAAGAGCAAGAGAAAATTTGGGGAATTTTGGAACTCACCTAAGGTGAACAGTTTTTGTCTTGGTGAGAACAGAACAAAGCGAAGTTCTTTGATAGTTGAGGAAGGAAGAGAAAGGCACAATAAGCTTTCCTCTTGCTGGCAAGACAAAAAATATTTCATTGGCTCCCTGTGTATATACATTGTTGATTTCTGGTCTGCTGGCCTCTGGTTCTTGAGCAGCACAGAAAAGCAGTATTTCTTTTTTAGCACTACTAAAAGAATACTGTGAACTTCCTGGTATCAGTGCAGGGAGCAGGCCTCTGGCCAGCAACAATAGCAAAGAAATAGTTAAGATTAGGCTACCCTGAAGAGGTGAGTTTGTCAGGTATGGTGATGGTTATAAGATCTCATCACAAGCCCACCTAAATTCTAGCTGTCAGGAAGCCTATGCAGAAACAGCTGACACAAGCCCCATATCACCATTTGCAGCCACACAAACAAGCGTGTACTCATTTAGAGGGCTTTCTTACCAGGTTGTATTCCTGTTTAGAGGGAGGAAAAACAACATCTGTCCTGCTCGTACAAGGCGGCTTCTGCAACAGTATAAATTTTTAAGCAGCTGTTTAGCAGTAGTAGGATGTGCCTTTGACAATGGCTCGTCTGGCTACGTCTGACTCGCCAGAGGGAACCTGTCTGTGAACAGGTGCATGTGGCTCGTTCTCTCACTCTCATCCAGTAGCGCAGCTGTGCTGATAACAGGATGAAAAAGATTACTTTCCTTCTTTCCTGACTGCTTTGCAAGGATTCTTTTTGAAGCCTAAAACTGTCTGCCACCAGCAAGAAGGGCTACTCTAGTCCTACGCTTTGCTAAGCGTAACTTCTTTCTCAAAGCAACAGACAAACTACTCCATTGCACTTTGCTTCTCAAGAAGGTTTCTAGCTTGTCAAAGGGTACACAGCATAGCAGTGTGAGAGGCCAAAAGAGATTTTGCAGTGAGCCTGTCCTCCAGCCTTGCTTTTACTCATGCTGGGAATGGGTTTTGAGCAACCCCTCCCCACCATGACACATCTGTGTGTATGCTTCTCTAGGTGGACTCCCATAATTCCACCAGTCTCTCTGGGTCACAAGATTTGGTCATCAACTTAATAGTCTCAGGAAGGCTAGTTAGCACTTGGCTCCCTGTCTGGAGTGTTTTGTAGAACCACAGAGAAACAAGAGCTCCTTTGAGGATATAAGAAGAGAGCAAAACAGCCTGCATGATTACATTTGATCTTCCTGATTCATTGCCACCCATCTCTACTAACTGTTACTGCTCTTCCAGCATCTCCAGGCTCCTTGTTCTTTATTCTGTATCAAGAGGACGAGACAGAGGTAGTTGTGTAACATACATCTCTCCTGGTGGCACAATCTGTTTAGACTGTTCTTGACTCCATGCCAGCAACTCAACCTTCCAAGGGATTGGATTGCATGAGAACTGTCAGGAGCACTGTCTCTTTGCTTGGTTAGTTTTTGAGACACATCAAGTCCTAGCCCTCGTTCACTGTATAACCCTACAAACAGCTGTCCTGGCACAACATAACAGGGGGAACTGATGTGGCAGCAACTGCTTAAATTAGCACAACTGCCAAGACGTCCCCAGGGCTGTTTCAAGTCCCTCAGTTTAGGCGTTATCTCACCTGCTTTCAGAACTCCTTGTGTATCCCGGGCTGATGAGCTTGGGCAATGCGCTACTGAATTAAATGTCTCCACATAGCAGACAACATGAAGTACAAAAGTGAGGCATCTGGCTATAAAATAAAACAACGTGTTTGGTCAGGTTGCTGTAGAACAAACCCTGGTGGCGCTTGTGCAGTCCATTCACAGGCTGTCAGCTGCTACTTGTTTGTCCAGTTAGCTTCACAGGAGCACTGCTTTGTACTCCTCAAGGCAAGGTGGCACCTTAGTGTTTTTAAAAAAGTTTTAAACTTAATTTTGTTCTTTTAAGGGAAAATATTTATGACTGATCCTTTTGACTGGCATCCCTCAAAGCAAGCATTAGCATCAGGGCTCCTGGAACCATTCAAACTAAACTCATAAACTGCTATTAATAACTTACCCTGAAAATGCCTGTTTGGCTTTGCTTTATCAGCAACTCATCTTCTATTGCAACAAAGTAAAAACAGAGCCTACCAAAGGAACCTAAGGCATTCCATCTGCTTTATTTAAAGAGGAAGAGGTATCATTAAAAATGTCAGTATTAAATCTACGAAATCATTGATACTAGAGAGTATCTGACAATATTAGCAATATTATACTCAGCTGTACGGTATGGTGATGGGTTTTGCAGATACAGCTTAATTTCTAAGACCGGAATTTTTTTTCCTAGTGGTTGCCAATTCATTTATCCCTCTTCTGAATTCATGACTGCAGAACCTTCACGTCATTGCCCCAGAGTAACAAATACTTTTATTATATAAGCTTATTTAATCCCAACATAATTAACTATAGCTATGGGTGAGTTAGCCTTTAAAAACAAATCTAAGTGTTGTAACTAGGATATAATTGGTAATTGAGAAGTACGAGAGGGTAACAAAGCCTTCTTGCTGCTTGACAGCTGTGTTGGCTGTAGCCATTTTTAGAACTGGGAGAGGAAGAAGAGAAATTTGAGTTAATTTAAAGCACTCCTAAAATTGGTAGATATTAACTAACTGAAGGATTTTTATAATTGCATGCCATGACTACTTAATAACCAAAGCTGAAAAATGACGACCTCATTATCTTTCACTTGCTGCTAGACCTGCTCTTTCAGTTCTACATTAAAAACGGTATGATATAGCCCCATGTGGAGGCCCAACTTCTTGTCATGCTTTTTTTTTTTTAATGTCCCACTCTGAATTCGTCCATCTTTAAAGTTGCTTTTGCAACAAAGTTTGCATGACTTTTTGATGATTCTCCCAAAAAGATTCTTCCACTGAAGTATGATGTACTGGGTGAGTTACACAGCATTGCCATGAAAGGCACTGCGCAAGTGACCTACATCTGGGTATCCAGTTTCTTATCATTCCCCCTTACAGTTCCCGATGCTAATTACCTATTGCTTGCAGAATTGGGCTTTTAATTCCTCCTCTTCAAACTGGAAACTGTTTTGAGGGAAGCATTAAATACAGTTTTGTTGTATATGTCATTAAACCAACCTAATTACCAAACCTTTCCCTGCAGGTACCGCAACTTCCTGGCTTTTCCTGGCTAAAGCCCTGCCTTTCAGCATCTGACATTGTGTACATTGGTTTAAGGGATGTGGATCCTGCTGAATAGTAAGTTGATTTAGATTAAAGGATTTTTGTAAAGGCTGAAATCATGAGCTTCTTTCCTTGTTCACAAGGGTTGATAGATATAAGCTTAGACCAGTAAGGATTTCTTTTAAATTTTATTTTAACAGCTATATTTTGAAGAACTATGACATCCAGTATTTTTCCATGAGAGATATTGATCGCCTTGGAATTCAGAAAGTTATGGAAAGAACATTTGAACAACTGATGGGCAGGTAACAAACTATTATCTGTTTAAACTACTCTTATAATCCATTTGGTTTTAATATCTACTTTCCTGAAGGTTATTTAAGTGAAGGTCACTCTTGATGTAAGGTGGCCTAACAGAACTGTGACAGCATCCATTAAATAGCAAAGTCTTAGCACTGACTTTGGTCCTCTACTTCCACATCTTGAACTGGAACCATTTCACAGTGTTTGCCAAAAAGCTACAAACAGGTTACGTTAGTCACTACAGTTGTGACTCTGTTTTATATGATTGTGTTTCTTGTGGAATTCTGCATTTTGCTGCAGTTTAACAAGATGTTTCAATCAACTCCTAGGGTATACATTATACTTCGAAAAATATATATAGCAAACAGACAGTAACTTGAATTCAGCTGTTAGCACACAAGGTAGAAGCAGTTGATGTCTTCCTCCTTAGACTACGTTCACAGATGCTGTCCTGATGACAACTGCCACTTTCAGTTCAGCTAATGAAGTTTGCTGTAACCACTCCCTCACTTAAGTTCAATACTGAAGTCTTTGCTAACCTTATTCAAGTTTGGGGAACCAGACCAGGGAGCAAATCATGCTAGTCTAGGAATACATGGAGAGGATCAGTTAGAGTAACCTCTCACCACAGGGCAGAACAAGGTCCATGTATCTGTGCTGCATACTGTTGTATCTACAGTTGTGCTCACCCTTCCTAGCTGCAGCTATGCCAAGTAAAGAAGTTGCTAATCCACATACTTCTCCCTACTGACCATCTGCAGTAAGCGGGAAGTACACGGTCTACCACTTAAATAGCTCATCTGAGTGACAAGCTGTGTCCAATTTATTAAGCTGTCATTGGTTGCCAAACTTCGTGTAATAAGTAACTAATGTTTTACGTTTGAGATTATCGTTCACTTTTTCATCACCTAGACTTACATGGCAGAGTTTGGAGGCAGCCTTCAACTATTGACCTGAAAAATGCAGAATGCCCCATTCATCTTGATGAGCTGTCTATGAAGTCCTCAAGCTTGGTGCTTCCTCCATCCTAACTGCCATGCAAATCAATGTTTCAGCCTTTCACCCTGGCTTTCTGTACAAAAGGAGAAGAGGCTGGATTGTATCGTACATTTCTATGCATTTTTCCAACTAAGGAGACAAACATCAGATAAGATGGTTACCACTGAAGTACACACATCTGAGTGGATGCTCAGTGAAACTACAAACATCTGTTTTCCCAGTGTGTACTGGGCAAAGTTCTGAGCTAAGACATGTTTCAGAGTCCAAACATATTAAAAAAAAAAAAACACAAACAAATTCCAACTGTATATAAGACATGGTATAGCACTTAGGGGGAACCTTTAGCATCATGGAGCACGATGCTACTTTTGCTGATCAGCCTGAAGAATAAGAAATACAAGTGGAAAAAGTTAAAGGTTCTGAGATTGCTTTTCTTGTTTTATTCTGTCTCAGGAGACAGAGACCTATTCACCTGAGTTTCGACATTGATGCTTTTGATCCCTCGCTGGCTCCAGCAACTGGGACTCCTGTTCTAGGTGGACTGACTTACAGAGAAGGCATGTACGTCGTGGAGGAAATACACAACACAGGTAGGAGTTGACCAGCAGTATTGGACTAAGCAAGGACAGGACAAACTACATGAAGCTCATATTGGTTATGTTTTTCCTCTGTAACTAGATAATAAGATAAATGTAGTCAAAGCTAAGGTGCCTACAAAGTCAATTCAACCTTCGGTAAGGGAAAAAGAAAGTCCTATGGCTGGGCAATACCCCAGGTGCTGGAAGCAGCTTAACCATCAACAACTTCAACTTAACAAAAGTAAATAAAATAAATAACATGTTAACAACTAATGCAAAAAATGACTCAGTCATCTTGTATAATACTGTCCTCTATTCCTAAACACGTGAAGTGAGATGTAAAAAAATGGGCATCTTGCATAAAAAAATGGATGCAAACAATGTTAAACAGTTTGAAGTTCCCACTCTGGATTCAAGGCTAACAAATCAAGCTTTTTCACTAAGTATACTGCAGTTGACTCAATATATGAGGACTTTCCTCCTTACATCATGGAGTTTTTTAGTGTGTTTAAACCATGAGTTATTTGCAGCAAAAGAAGGAAGAAAATCCCAACCAGACAACAGAGTCAATAGAATCCTGAACAGGATGGCAAAAAATACTAGGTGAAACTATTTTATATCCCCTAACTTTTGGACTGGGACGAGACAAGATTAAAAACCATTCCTCTCGTAAGTGTATATGGAAGATCAAACTTATTTTTCCTGAATGCTAAAAGCATGAATGAGTGAGGTAGTGATGATGTAAGTAATTAAAAACAAACTTGCATCTAAGAACAATCCCTCACTTGAGAGCCAATTTTACTTGTCTAAGGGGTAGAGTAGATCACAAGCTCAAATATCAGACTTTCTGCAAAAGAAACACTATTAGAAATTTTACCCTCTTTCACAGTAACAAAGCTGTAAATTGTTTTCACAGGCATGCTTTCAGCTGTAGACATGGTTGAAGTCAATCCGCTGCTGGGAGCTTCTCAAGAGGAAGTGAATGCAACTGCTAGTCTTGCAGTCGACGTGATAGCAACGTGCTTTGGGCAGACAAGGGAAGGAGCGCACGCTGCTTTTGATGAACTCCCAACACCCAGTTCTCCAGATGAATCTGACAGTGAAGAGCAAGTGAGGATTTAAGAACCCAAAGTGTTGGGTACATTGGACATTACAGAGCTCTGCTGAGGCACTTGAGCAGTCAACACTTGGCAAACACTGTTACCTTCTCAATTTTTAAATAAACTAGCTTTTCCACTGATCGGTGGCTACTTTATTACATACCAGCATTTATTCATTTAGTTAAGTATTTACAAATTGAGACAATAAAATATTATTACCTTCTTATTAGTCTTACCAGTAGTTCAAGTCTGTCTCTGCATTTTCCTTTTACTCCTATTCTCTGTCTTTCTAGTGTCTGTACAGTTTCATCTGCACACGCTGTCTCATGAGACAGTTCAATCCTCCGTCAGTCAAAGGGAACAGACAGCCCATCAGGTTCCTCAACAGTGGAAAAACTCATCTCGGTCATGAAGATTCATCTGCTGCGAAAGAACTTGTAGTAGACCACACCTCCTAGGATGGCCAGTTCCAGGATGATGATAATTGACAGCAACAACTTATTAGTGGTTACTCTAGAGTTAAAAAATAAAAAAAAAAAATCCAAGATAACTTTTTTCTCTTGTTTATGAAAGCAGATTCTAGATAATCTGATCACCTTCTTACCTTCAGTAAGTGTACTGCCTGTTTCAGCTAGACCACAAAGTGCTATTCAAATAGCTCTTAACAAGCAGGAGGGAACAAACTCAGTAGTTCCCTACTCACATTTTCCTGAGAATCCTGCTTAAGTCTTCTACTTCAATAGTAGCAGTTCTGTTCCTCTTGCCCTGCCCCACTTAAGGCAGATCATGCTGTTCTATATGTGCCTACTCCTTCAACCAAGCAATGAGGAAAAGACCAGCTGAACCTCCTGTGCTAAAACCCACATTGCAGTGCTTTCACTCAGGACTATGTAGTTGAAGTAGAACTATAAAATCTGAAGATAATAATGTGCTTTTACTATTGAATATTATACAGTATCATAACTTTCTTTAGCAATGGGGGTATAAAGGAAAGGGTGTTAGGCCAGAAGTACCTACTGGAAATAAACTCCATGAACTGGTTTACAAGGATAATTAAACCATGTAGTTAAGAAACTGTAAATACACTTAAGCAGCCAAAGCTTTAGTCATCAAAATAGCATGTGGTCACGCTGAGTTTCTCATCCACCTACTCTAGGGCACTACTATAGGCTAAAGAGATTTGTCTGTGTCATCAGCCATCTAACTAATGCTGCAGTGATTCATGTCACAGCTTTTTCCAACCTCAGTAACACGGAGCTGCATCAAAGCTACTACTAGCAATTCACTGTAACTTGCTCGTGTCCTCACCACAATTTATCATGCGGTTAAGGACCCCCGTATTATCTGAAACAAGCAGCACAAATTCAGTAGTGTTCAACTACCTGTACTCCATTAAGTAACTACCAGAGATGAGAAAACACACATTAGCATCTGCACATGGGCACACATTGTTTACACATTCCCTAAAACCTCCCTGCAGTTCCAGCTGACAAGCTATTACTTATTTTTTTGCCTGAAACCAGCAAGCAACAAAGCCATCTGCCGAGTGCTGCTCTAGGTCAGTTACTCTACTCACCTCCTGGACATAGAACGTAGAATCTTGCGACTCTTGCTCAAGTTCTCACTTGTATTCACCAACTAAGATGAAACAAAAGTTATGTGTCAGTTGAACAAGTATACAGCAACTCTAAAGATGCACCTGGAAGTAGCTGGTGTTGAAATGCTGCAAGTAATAATGGGACCAAGGCTAACCATACATTCTGAAAATTCAGAGACAACATTGTTTCTACACACAATACAAGCTGAAAGCATTGTCTCCTTTCTAAGGAGGAAGTAAGACTTTCATGGATGCTTTCCCTTAGATATGTACAAAGATATGCAATTTGGGATCACTTTCTGCTTTTTTAGTTAACCTACAAATATCTCAGAAAGCTGGTATTAGCTCCTTTCATTAATTTAATTACTCTACTTGTTGACACCGGAAGAAAATGATACTGATGTGTTCCCCCCAGTGGCTATCTGGGTCTGTTTGAAATACTGTTCAATTTCTAGCAAAGAACGAACCATGTTGCACTGACAGGTCTAAGTGACCCAGTGGATATCAGCTCTGAACTAGTAATCGATAATCCATTTCAGCTTTGCAATGCTCAGAAATGAACTGTCAAGTATTTCTCAGTCAGCTATTAAGAAGCACATAATTAAGTGAGGTTACAGACAAGTAAAAAAAGCTGTTGTCTCACAGAGTCAGGATTCGTGACGTACGGCCACTGGAAGTCTCCAGGTAAGATTTCGCTATTCCAGTTCCAAACCTTCCCGTGAAGTGAAAGGTAAGCCAGGTCACTTACTGCCACAGACATCTGCTTGCACAATTCCTCTGTAGTTTGAGTTCTTGCCCTCAACTGCAAGACTGGCCCTGTAGGTACGTTACTTTGCACTGAGATGGACTGGACCAAGCTGGGAAGAAAACTACCAAGTCCATTCAAAGCATACTGGATTTCCAGTCTTTGCTATGAAAGACCACGCAAGAAGAAAGCCTGCTTCTAGTTGGAATGTGTGGTTAATACAATTCAGCACTACAATGCCTAAAAGGCTCACAATAAAAGTCAGTTTCAGGAACAAGCTGTGGATAGACATGCTTGAAAGACTGTAATATTAGAAAAAGAACAGAAAAAAAACTATACCTATAAATCTGAAGATCGCATTTCCTTTCCTGCTCTCCAACCCAAATTTGGGAGCAGTACAAATCAAATTCTGACTGAAATGGAAAAACTACTTAAGTGAAAAAACTAGAGGCTTTGTTGCAGTGAGTAGAGAGAACTCCCAAGAAAAGGGCTATGCTTTATGTTTTGGCTGAGAGTGTTACTTGCCAAACTTGGCGTCCCCCTGCAAGTCACTCACCTAAAAGCTTTACACTCGGGATCCCTTGGACACACAGAAAATCCCATCAGTTTCTTACTTCAAAAATCAAATTTTCAGCTTTGCGTATGTGTTTAAACAAAACAAAGTACTTTTTCAAGCTTCCACAGCAGAAGCAGAGCTTCTTGACCCAAGGATGAGGAACTCGAATCTTGTCTGACACCACTTTCTCCCTCCTTAGCTAACTTATCAATATTGGAAGCTTAGTAATTAAGTAATTAAGCTTCTATTAAATTTCATTTCATTAGAAGAACTTGCTAAGTGCCCTCCAAATCTAAACCTTTACTATTAATCTAGTGGTTGGCAACTCCTTAACACTTTTTTAAATCTGTAATTTTTTTAGTAATGCTTTTTTTTTTTTTTAGCAGGTCTAATATCCAACACAGCAGCAGACATTTGGACATCGTGCTTTGGGCCCTTCCACAGTAACTATTTTCCTTTTATGAGCATAGCATAGAAACATGGCAGCCTGGATTTGGTCTGTGGAAACATCAATTGGGTTACCAGGTCTAGGGAGGTCTCCAAGAGTAATTACTGGCATACAGTTCCCACTAAGCCAACATCAGGTTGTTTCTCTGCTTACTCTGCTCTTGGTGCGTTCCAATTGCTCCCGCTGCTCCCCAAGTTCTTCAATTATATCAGTGCCAATCTGATCTGTTTCAGCAGCAATTCGGTGCGAGCGCTCAATGCTCTGACTGGCTCGGTTCAGGCTGTCGGTTCCCTGGAGAAGCAGCACCCTCTGTGACTGCAGATTGGTCTGAAAAATAATGTATGCTTAACTGTTAAGCACGAAGACGGAGGTATTAGGCTTCTCACATATTAAAAAGTTAGGACATGACTCCATAGGCCATCCATTTGCATGAGATGTACATGCTTCTTATGTTAACTGATGTCACCCAGTTAATTTTGAAAGAGTTCTTGTCCACATTGTAAGATTATGGCCAAATCTGGTTAAACCTTGAAAAAGAAGGACACACAGCTGAAGAGTTAAACCAGTTACAAAAATAGGTCTTTGCAACAATTTACTTTTCCATCAAAGAAAATTTACATGAAAATAGTATCTTTGTTTTCCAGACTGTAACTTCTCCTTCTATTTGTATCTAAATTCAGTCTTATTTGTGACTTTGCAGTTGGTTGCCAGGGAGATGTTAAGCTTTTACCATCAAAAGGATTAGGAACAAACCGCTAACAGATGGACTGCTAAGTAACAAAGATCCCCTCTTCATGCCAGCAGCCTTGGCTAGAGGATAACAAATGTTTGCTGACCTTGGGGTCAAGAGGTAGCTCAAAATAAAGTATTTTCTTAAGCTTCAGGAAGTCTAATCTACCATCCTGCTCTCAGGTTTTAGAGAAACCAATCGAGAGGAATCAAATGCAAAAATTTACTAAGCTACCGCAGAACGAGATACTAAGGAAGCCTCCCTCAAACCTTCCTTATCTAAGGCAGAAAACCAAAAATCCCACCTCCATGAACTTTCTGTACAGATGACAGCACTTTGAAGATAACAAGCAGATTCAGTCTCACAGCTCAGACATACCTAAGCATATCTGGTAAACAAAGAAATTGGTGTATTTCTTGCACTGTAGCAGCACATCCACAGTGAACAAAGTGCTAGAGGATGACTACTTATGTTTTCCCGAAATAATTTACACTGAGATTGTTTGTACACTCAGTTTACACTGAGATTTGATTGAGTGGGTGATTCACACACTTTGCTAGTTTCAGAGACTAAAACTAGATCAGTTAACCTTTCTTCTCAGTCAGTAGCATCACTTCTGTGTTTTCAGAGCTGTAGAGGAATGATTAAATAAAGCATTTCAGTACAGAATGTTGTTACTGACAATGTAAGTTACTGACCCCATGGCATTCAAGGAGTTCCATTTTGATTATACTTGATTATACTTTGATTATCTTTGTTTTAGAACAACTGTCCTTTGAGTTCCAGATGCTCTTTCTTCTCCCCGAGATAGTCACGTTACATGCAGAGAGCTATACAGAGAGTTGCACAAGCGCACAAGCACACAAGCTCAGTGGATTAAAGTAGAAACACTGTAAACAATACATCTAGAATATGAATTTTAAACAATCACAGCAGTGTTAAATAAAATTTAGATATAATACTCACACTCTGTTCATTTTCTGTGGAGAAGATTCCATATTTTATATCGCTTTGACTTCCAGGGCCCAGTCCCAAATCTGTGCTTCTCATCTCTCTCTGGAACATGGAGAGGTCTCTTCTATAGGCACGGATTTTGCTCATCATTTGGTTGCGGAAAGGCAGAGGAGCATACTTCAGTTCTTCCTCCATTTCCCGCAGCTTTTAAGAAAGAATATGTGTTTATTTTTTAAAGCAGCAAATCTATTCTTATCAGCAGCTATAATCAAAACTCACCACAGGATGAAGGGATTCACATGTTTTTGTGTGATTCAGTGAGGGAGATCAACCCCAAACCCTATACCCCTATACTTCATCTAGTATCGAGTACACCATTCTGCCTAATGCTGTTCAGCCCACATGGATTTTCAGATACACAATGCCTCAAGAAAAAAAAAAAATTAATTGCCAAGCTTAAATGCTTGATTTTTTTCTGAAACATCACATCACTCTCTAACTTCAAAACCTGCAATTCTCACTTTCAGATAGTTTAAGCATTTCTAGGATGGGTATCACCATCTATGCAACAGAGATCTACTGCACAGGTAGGCATGCCGCTAAATTCACGCTCTGAACATCTGGGCCTGGCAACTGGAGTTAGGATTTGTAAACCCTGAGATTTTGAGTGGGTGAGTTTTATTGACAGTTGTTACAAATTCACAGTGCTTAAAGCTGTCCACCCATATGAGCTCTACATCTCATACATCACCTACGCAAGTCAATAAAACCCAGTAAGTTAGAGGAATAAAGCATCATGTTTGGCTGCAACTCAAAAACATCCTAACAAACAAATAGCACATTGATGTGAAAAGAAAGCTTAATCCATAATGTCTTGCTTAAAAAGACAAGTCACATGGGGGTTTTTTTTGAGTTGTTCCATGTCACCCGCTGTCTAGGAAGCCTATACAATAGAGGTTTCAAATACTCAAGGTATTTAACAATCGGACTATTATAGATCAGATGGGCTAAGATGAACATGAAAAAAGACAGAAGGGGAAAAAACCAAACAAAACCAACAAGCAGATTCTCTACATGCCCTCCCTACAATCTCTAGCAAATTTAATTGCACCTCTATCACTGTCTTTTGTTCAACAAAGGGAAGGTGATATCTGTAGCAAGCACTCAAACAAAAAAAAAGCATGTAAGAATATTTGTCTATATCTGTACATGTATATAGATCCATACAAGTCTTGATAGACACATCTATCAGATCAATTAATCGAACATAAAAAAAATACAACATCTGCCTGCCAGAATAAGATCCATTAAGAAAGTAAAATTTAGAACTATTGTCTTTTTAAAGGCATCAATATTTCAACCAGTCAGAAAGGCCAGAAGCCTAGACTTGTGTTTACCGTTTCATTTGCTTCACGTTGTTTCTCATCAAATTCTCGAACTAGTTTTTTCTTCTCCTCTGTGAAAGAAAAAGTAGTATGTCAGATAAACTATAGAGAAATTACAACAGAACTCCAGCTCAATCCATTCTAGACAAGGAAGCTGCCACAGATGGCTGATTACCGAGACACCAGGTCAAAATTTACCTCAAACAGGAACACCCTGTTCTTACAACAACTTTTCAGAAGGGGGTGGGGGGAGAGAGCAGAAGCCACCCTTCCAAAAGCTGGCCACTACCTCCGGTAGACAAAAGAAGTAATTTTTCAAACCTGAACTATTTTTTTGACCTATTATCCTCCCATTTCCACGGACAGAATTGCGTGTTGAAAAACATTTAACATGAAAGAATAACAAAGAGGACATGTTGGTAAACAGCTCATAAATATTTCTTATTTTTTGGACACATTTGGCAAGATTACTGAAGGCTGAAACTATAATTTGGGTTTGAACAGAACACCAAGTCAATCTACATTTCTAAGTAAGCCCTGAAGTTCCCAGCAGATAAGGCACTCTGCATTCTCGTGGTCATAAAGTAACTAGGTAAACGGGATAAGCATCCTAGAGTACTCAGAGATTAAAGATGGCATCAAGATATCACCTTGGGTTCACAGATTAATGCCCAAATGCTTCCCTCTTCTGGAACGACATCAGTTGTTTGAATCAGTCAACAAAACTATACATTTTAGTTGTCTGAAACAGTCATCTGCTAAGATCTTTGTATCCAGGGCTTTGGAGGTCAAAGAATGGGCTTCACTGTTGTTATTCTACCTTAAAAAAAACACCTTAAGACATGTATTAAAAAGCTATCATACGTCTCTACTATCCATGATCAATGAAAGCACAATTCTGAAACTCTCCTTATCTCAGTGGAGCAAAAACTTACGTTTCGTAAGCTTTTGCAAAAGCACTGACGACGACTACCAGAGGACTCTTGTACAGTACTGCGAATGAAACCAAATTCTCTCAGAAGTCTGATAAAAATGCACTAGCCTAGTTCACCTCTCTCAGGAGAGAACAATTCAGTCTTAAATAAAATTTCGGCTAGCAAAAAATACAGACAGTTATCTTGGTAAAACTTCTCTAATTTGATTAAACTTAAAGACAAAATGAAGACAACATTAGGAAAACATTGTTGCAGTGAAAAAACGACTTGATAATACCTTTTTGTAAATATGGCCCTCTGCAAAAGAAGCAGTTTTCAAACCACTAAGCTCTCAATAGAGAATAGGAAAAAAGTCTGAAGCAATCAAAACACTTTTATGTAGCTCCTTTCATATACACAACATGCCTAAGCCGTAGGCTTTCCTTTTCCGTTCAAATTCATATCAAGCCCCAGAATTTGAACTGTAGAGAACTTAAGACGGAATTAAAAACCATCCTCTAACAAGAAGCTACACTCTCTAGTGTCACACAGAATTATTACAGACTAAGCTACATTACAACTGTTAATACATTACACACTAGCTGGCAACAGGAAATAGTTTCACATCCCAGTTTATTAAGGAGGAAATGCTGACTTAAGAGGTTCCTAAATACACTCTCCTCAACTTCTCTGATTTGCCACCACGTACATTTGTGCTGATGCAGTTACTTGTGTAGCTGGGTTGTGAGTGAAATCACAGACACAAACTGCAGGAAAACAGCCTTCAGAAGTCAATGTTCTGTTTCACACAGGCCATTCCACTTATTTGCTTTAAGTAGCGCCCCCTTAGAACAACTGCAGTCTCAAACTCATTGAAACCCGGTGCAGCACCAAAAAAGCCGTATTTTACCTTCTTTGTGTCCCCCAGGCGGATTAAGAAGACACTGCACTTACAAACTTGAGCAGCCAAAGAAATGGGAGTTTCCAAAAGCCAAGTAGCAATGGCTGGAGACTTTCTTGCCTACATGCCAACAAGAAATCAGGCAATGTGGCTCGAAAGCACTATGGCGGATCTGGCCTAACAGAAATGACAGAATATATCGAGCAGTTTAATTCAGATCACTCCAGATTAAACGGTGACTCAAAGTACATTGAAAGAGGTTTTTTTAATGCCATAAAAGTACAAAGTACCCAAGCCACAGTAACATCACACTCATCAGCATTTAACTGATTTACTTCCAATCAGTTAGAAACAGAGTCATTTGAAAAGTACAGCTAACCGAATTAATTTAAAGGAAAGTATCTATACTTGAAACTGATCCAGGCTGTTTAAAATGCCTTCTTAGAAATTTAGAAGGAAAAAAAATTGTTTCTAGAGCTTGGAATTTTTTACCTGGTTTATATAGAGTGAAACAGCATTTCCAAATCTCTGCCCCTTGAAGATGTCCCAAGGACTACAGACTCTGTCTTCCCTTGAGTTTGGGAGTATGCCAATCATCTTAAAAGAGTATGCAAGGTAGCTTTTATCACCTCCTGAAGTTTTCAGGATCAGATAACTCAAAAAATAAAGATACAAGAAGCAAACAAAGCACATTAGGAGACTGGAACACCTCCCACCAGATAGACAAATTCCTGACTTATCTCAAACTCTCTTAGAAATACTTTCCAAATATATTACCAGGATTTTTGCAGCAACAAATTTAAATAATAGAACAGTCATGTTAAAATCTCATAGCATGTCTGAAAAATCAGTTTGTAATTATTTTTAATCTGTTGAAAAAATAATCTACAAGCACTACAAAAATTGACGCCTGTAAATACTCCATTTAAGCCCGTTCCTCAGAATTCGTGGCTCAAGACTATCCCAGTTCCATAGAGAGCTGACGAAGCTTTACTTCACCAAGAAACTGACCACTCTCCTTTCTACAAGGAAATAAAGATTTCCTACAAGAAAAGGTATTTCTTCTTTTATCCTTTTTATTCTTGTTGACTGCTAGTCAAATTTAGTCAGCTTTCAAAGTCATCATTTGCAGGTTTGAACACCTTTCTTGTACAAACTTTCTGGAAACGCTGATGTCAAGGACTGCAACCCTGAGTTTAATTAAATTCATTAACTCATTATCAAACAGAAAGCCAGGTAAGAAATGGAATGTTAAAACTTTTCATAGCCTGTGTTATCTAGCATAGACTGGTATATTCTGAACAAATCATTTTTATGATTTTACACTTAAAACACATAAAATTGGTCATTCTCCTAGAACTGATAAGACTATCGCAGAATGTGGCTCATAGCCCCTATCCATTCCTGTGGTACAAAACCCAAGCTGACAGTAACTGTGTATCATGTTTCCCCTAGGAAAGAACTAGAGATTGGGTGACATTGGTAAAATTCTCTTTGTCAGAGCCCTTCCCTTTCCGGTTCTCAGAATACTGTCAAGTGTTAAGAACTGAATTAGAAGCACAATACCAAGTCCTACAGAGAAGTGTTCTGTCAGAGTGTTTTACTCACTGGTACGGTGTAAAGAATACCCATTAAATCAGGTTTTGCTTCTAATGTAACTTTGTGTAGCTTGATAGTTTTTTCTAGTCTGTGGGTAGGTAGTGCACAAACCAAACTTTTAACACATTTAAAAGGCAAATCTTCTCCAGTAAGTCTACAAACAGTTGTGGACAGTTGTAATACTAAAAACTGCTTTTAATTCTGCCGATAAGATTTTAAGCAAAAGTCCAACAATAACCCCCCCGAAAAAGAAAAGAACCCAAAGCAATGCAGTTCAGGCAGTTCACCTAGAAACAGCACGAAATAACATCCAGACAACAACCTCTCCTCAGAGAAGAGACTGAAGCTGAAAGCCCAGCACAGCACCGCTTGGCTACAGGGTTGAAACCTGCCAGGCAAGAGGAGTGAAGTGTCACACCTGCCTCACTACTTCCATATTCGGGGCTCTGCATGACCAGGTCTCACACTCAAAAGCAAAGCTACCAGAATACAGCAGCAACTGAAAAATAAGCCAGAGAGAAAGCCTGACCGAGCAAAGCCACCCGCCCCCTCCACGGAAGCACCACCCAAAGCGATGCGCTAAATTCCCGCAGTTGCCTTGGCAAACTCCTTCCCCACGCACGGGCTTTCTTCAAAGCGACCCTGACCTCCCGGCTATAAAATACGCTTTATTTATG